TACCGCGATCCATTAAAAAAATTTCCTCCAATACGACCCTATCTGTCAAGAGGTAAGTCCTCTGGTGCACCATCACATCTTTATGCAATCAAATTTATTTATTAAGTGAAAATAAAACGTAACTGCAACTTAGAGCCATCTTGTGTACCATAACGTAGAACCGGAGCGGCGGAATTTTTGACACAAAGTATTGTTCTGAGAGCAAAAAGTAAAACCGTGCATGATCGCTGCAGCACCGACGTGAGTGCGTTTACTTGGTTGTACTGTTTCCAGATCCAGATCATTTCAGTAATTCTGGATATATGCGCTAATGTTGATTCAGGACCATCATAAATATGATATTCCTTTATATATTTTTTGAATATTGATCCAGGACCATGTTGATCCTGAATCACTGTCACCAGTCGTCACTGTCACTGTATTGTGCTAGTCCTGGTTAGATTTGCTAATGTTGATCCAGGACTGTCAATGCCATGCTGATCCTGAATCATTATCTCCCTGTTGATCCTGGACAATCATAACTCTTATGCCTAGGTAGATTTGTTAATGTTGATCCAGGACCACTCATGCCATGTTGGTTCTAGAACCTTATAACTGTTTTAGTCCTGAGTACCTAATGTTGATCCTGGACCATCATAACTACATTGAGCGACTGACTGACTGACCTTTGTTCCTTATAATCTGCTGATGTTTATCAGGAATAATATGTTTCAGTTATTATTTTTCAATATTCTCATCATTGAGAAATTAGTTTATATTTCACCTGGAAAACATTGTCACCATATCCAATTTGTCACCATCAAGTACACCTTAGGCATCATATAAAAGACATCATAATCAAATTTTAATCCTTTACATGATATAATCCTAAATATGATATTATGGTGCCATTAGATAAAAATAATTTTTTTGTGTGTGCATTTCAGAAATATTCTGTACTGCATAGTGGAGTAGTTTATCAGACAGACTGTGGAAAAAGAAGAAAAGAATAAACAAACAAGACTGAAAAACATAAAACTGAAGACACACATAAACTCAAAGACCAAGAAGAAAAATATATCACAGAAATAATTAACAAGGTACACAAAAAATTCAGGAACACAAATTCTTCCAGTTTAAAAGACAAACAAAGGGGACATTATGGGGATATTATGTTCCATTGTAGAAGATCTGATGTTACAGAAAGAAGTTGCAGAGCTGTAAGATATAAAGCATATATCTCTTTTAAAATAAGAAACAAGTGGAAAGGCCACAAAATTGTTGTGCAGAGAATATTTGATCAGCACAAAGGGCATGATCTTTCTGAAGAAAATGGCCATTTCCACCAGATTCATCCTGATTCATATCCGTACTGATGTTCTTTGGAGGAAACACCTTCATAAAGACAACTGTAAGAATTCAGAGAGGCTATCAGCTGGTCCTCTAAAAAGAATGTAATATTTTATCAGCCTCTGAGTAATGACCAGGACCTTATAATTGTTCCCCAAAGTGAGAAAAGACTTACAAGAACATGGGAGGAATATTATGTTTTTTGATGCCACTCACTGTGTGAAACAATAGTCCTTTTCACTTTTCACACTGTTTGTGAGAGACGACCTTGTCATGAAGTTCCTGTGGCATACATAATAACAAGCAGTGAGACACTTAAGAAACACTTAAGCTTGTACGCCAGTAGCTCCAAACTGTGCTCCCTAAGCTACTGAGGTAATAAAACTTTAATTTAAATTACTTCAGTTAAATTACCTCGGTAATTTAACTGAAGTTTTATTTGTTCTGTACTTAGTGAAAAATCACTGTCACCATGTTGATCATTTACCACCATAGCAATATTGAACAAGGTAAACCTGTTCAAAATTTTCTTTTAGTTTAAAGATGCTTCATGGTTGACACGAATGTGAAGACATTGAGTGAAATAAATGCTTTGAATCAAGTCTTCTCAGAATCTGATGTTCTCTGCTGGTACCATGTTCTCCAAGTAAGTAATAAACAAAAAAAAACACATGCTTTTTTCCCCCATCAGTTTAACTATCATTAAGTTTAATGATACATGCATGATACTGTACAACTTAATTGCATATATGATTCACAGACTGTTGTACAATGGTTGATAAAGTCAGGTGCTGGTATCTGTGGGCCATCCTCTTCAACTACCCAGATTGTTTCATTCTAGATTGTTTCCAGAAAATGAAATCCTGTGCTAAGGTACTTGTATTTACATGTTTTGTTTGTTTACGGTTTTGTTTTTTTTTTTGTTTTTTTGCACAAAAAACGAAAGTGGCATTTTTGTCTATATATTTTCAGTGGCCAAAATTTTGGTGCATATAGTATCCATTAAGTGGCATCATGCTGTGTAAATGACAGAATATCACACAGTTAAGTTCATATGTACATGAGTAGAGAAAGTGAAAAAAATATGTGCCTTTTTTCGCAGAGCAAAGAAAGATATGCTCAGGAACGTATTTAAGATTTTAGGTAGTTGCTGTTTTGATTACATATTAACAATACACATCTCTCCTGTTTTACAAAATTTGCATTGGCTCCCAATACTTTTAAAATGTAAATTTTAAAATTTTACTTTTAACTTACAAAGCACTTAACAATTTGGCTCCTTCATATCTCTTAGATCTTCTTCATATACACACTCCTTCTTGCATTTTAAGATCGGCTTCTGCACTTACTCTTGTTCTCCCATGCACTCGGACAACTTTGATGGGGTCACAAGCTTTTGGTTAAGCGGCTCCCCTTTTATGGAACTCATTTCCTGTAGAAGTTCGCAATAGTTCAAGTCTTCCGGTCTTTAAATCTCGTCTTAAAACTTATTTGTTTAAGCAGGCTTTTATGTGATTTTATGTTTGTTTGTTGTATTGGCTTTTATTGTTTAATGTTATGGTTTCACCCTGTTTTATGGACTTTGTAAGGTGTCCTTGAGTGCCATGAAAGTCGCCTACAAATAAAATGTATAATAATAATAATAATAATAATAATAATAATAATAATAATAATAATACCACTTTTCTTTCCATTGCAGAAGACTCACTTTTACAGGGTAGCTAAAAGGTTTTTTTGCAGGATTTTTCTGACTATCAAGAGGTTTGCCTTTACTTTCAGAGGCACTGGGAACCAATCAATCATACATGGGCTGATTATGGATGGTGTTATAAACATGGAGATTCAGAGACCAATAATTTGATTGGAAGGTAATTTCTCTCTGCAAAGCTTAAGGCAAAGTAAGTATGTTTCCCAGAAGCAGCACAGGCAAAAAGAAAAAATAATGCCATAAATTGAATATAAACATAATGCAGTGTAATGCCTGGAACATAAGAACCTTTTCAATTTTTTAATAAAACATAATAATTTTAACATTAACAAAAAAAACAAAAAAACACGAACATAAATTATGTATTATAATACATAATATTATGTATTATGTCCTTCCAGATATAATGTTATGACAAATAACATGAATTTTTTTTTTCAGGTTCTTCTATTGATTGAAATATCAGTCTTTACCAAGGATAAGAAATTGATGTTTGGACAACTTGTCTGATGTGCTCCTTTCCAAGACAGACACTTATTTTCAGGTGATAAAACACCTGCAATCGGCTGGAAGAATGGCAAACATGGTTGCCATCAAATGTGAGGAAACATTTAACAAAGCAACTGCACTGTTGGAAAAAGGTTGTCCTGACCACATTACAATGGAATCAGCAGTATGCTTCTGCAGTTGCCCTGTTGGTGGGAGAGGTCAAATATGCAAACATTTGAAATTGCTAGATGTAATCAAAGATAAGGATAAATTATAGCTGCGGACAGAAATGATCAGGGTTAAAGCACTTTAAGAACTTTACATGCATGCATAAAATTATGTATATCTTGATTTTAGGACAATCTGTACAGAAGTTATAAGCAAAAATGGTGAAGTTCTGATGAACAGTCTAGGCGGAGTTTGCAAAAGTAGGTTTTTCAAAACATTCGCAATGGTCGAAAAATTTTCGCAGACCAAAGCACATTTGGTATCATTGTTTTCGGCATGATCCAAACTTTTTGTTTTTTGTTCAACTTGAGCCAGTGATTCCATTGATATAAGACACTTGCACTTGTGACAAACGGTTCAAAAGTTACAGTTTTGTAATTTTTTTTGTTTTTATCACTGTAGCGCCACCGTGTGGCTAATCGGGGCGAGACTTTGCGCCTTTGTAGACTGGTGGATTTCAATTTCCCTCAGTTTCCCTCAATTTCAAGTCTCTAGGCTTTACAGTTTCGTCTGCACGATCAGTTTTAGGGCAGAGTAGTAGCAGTAATAATAATAAAAATCCCTACAAAAACAATAGGGTTTCAGCACTTTGCGCTTGAACCCTCAATGGTAAGTTCCTGAACTTACTTTTCAGCTGGAAGCTCATGCAAGAGCTCTTCATAGGTCACGTTACTATCTGCTCTGAGGGGACAATGGAAATAGATGTGGAAAGCCTTTGCATGCATCTTTGTAAACCTATTCTTGTACATTCTCATATCATGCCTTATTTTAGCAGCACACTTGTTTAGCAAACCATTAATGAAGAAAGGTTCTGTCCTGTGGATAAATCTGACTATCCTGATATATCTTTTGAGCAACAAGATAGATGCACACAGACATCCAGAAACTAGAAGACATTCTTGCAATTGTCAGAAGTTGGCAGACCATTCCAGAGACCATTAAAACACAAATAAATAATCTTCATGTTAATGTGCACCAAGAAGATAGGTGTCTTTTGTATAAATGACATTGTTCTAATGACACTTCAAGGAAGATACAGCCACTCTTTCCACATATCACAGAAACATTAGCAGTTTTGTGTACTGGGACTTACTGTGCCCATTGTATACATCTTACTGAGTCATTGTAGTGAAGTATAGCAAAGCATGGTGACTCATACTTGGAATTTGTACTCTGCTTTTAACCCATCCAAGTGCACACACACACACACACACACACACCATAAACAGCAGGCAGCCTGTTTTGCTGCAGCACCTGAGATTTGAACCCACAACCTTCAGGTTCACCTTTGGGTTACAAGGTGAAACTCTCTAACCATTAGGCCATGACTGCCCCCTCAAGACTGATTGTACTATCTTGTGCTGTCTGCACGTTTGCACTTGTGCACTTTATGTAAATTTATGTAGTCCTTTGCAGTTCTGTGTTGTTCTGTGTTTGTCTATGTAGCACCTTGGTTCTGGAGAAACATTGTTTCGTTTCACTATGTATTATTTCACTATGTATGGTTGTATATGGTTGAAATGACAATAAACTGCATTGAAGACACAAATTTAGAAGGGTTTAAAAACAGTTTTAAAAAAAAGCAAGAAAAAGCAAGAAATCCTATGAAAAAAATAAATGCAGGGCCAGATACAGGATACCTTGATATGTGAACACCTTAAATCTAATGGCTCTGATCTTAATAATTGAGGATAAAATGAACTAATTTTTGGAGTATCAACATCTTGCAGTAAATTGGATATTAATTCCTAAACAATATTGTTTCCTGAAGAATCTGTATGTAATAGATTTTGTAGTCTGAAAAGATAATTCCATGAATTACATCAAATGTTTTAGGTGTACGATAATCTTTGTACATGAGTTATTGAAATGAACAAAATATGATTATTGTGATATCACTCATTCCACATTGGTTAAGGATGTTTCATTTGTTTGTGTATCTTTTATAAGCAGTAATCTTGCATTATTTGTTCCATTGAAACATATTTTTGTCCTTTATTATATATCACAGAAAAATGTTCATTTTACAGAGTTCTATATTATACAAAAATAAACCAGTTTGACCCACTAAACAAAATCAATTAAGAAAGTGTCCTGGAGAAATGAACCATCAGTCTAAACAAAACTGAGAACAGAGGTTGCATTAAGACAGAGGTCTGATTAAAGAGCCTGAAGATGCACAAGACATTTGGTGCAAGTAGCCAAAATGTATAAAGTTTCAACATATTTCATATAAACTCTCTATAATGAAACTTAGTACCCCATCAACTGCCTGTGGACCAAATGTGTGAGTTAACGAGCTGAAGGCTGATGTAGGCTTGATTGCAGGTTGGCACGTACACTAACAAGCGTTTCCCTTTAATGAAAAAAGATTAAATCATTAATAATAGTTAAATCAAACATCCATTATCACAATATATATAGCAAAAGAGCTGAATAACATTATTAAACCGTACTATGGTTACTTCTGTATTCTGGACACTTATGTCTTTACGTACCAACTCTGGACCAACATTTTAGCTTAGGCTTTTTGTTAGACCAGTGGCTAGGTCTGAATCCTTCCCGTCTGTTAGTGGGCTAGAGGTCTTCAATATTTTGGGTTGATTGAGGAACATTTCAGGGAGATTTGCCTTGCACCTCTGCAAAAATGATCAGTACTGAACTGGTAAAAAATAATCAATAATAAGATATCAGATAGAAATAGCTGGTCTCTAAATAAATTAGAGGACATACAAGGGCTACATTATAGTGTCACAAAAGAAGAAAGTAACTGCAGAATAGTAGGGAGCTACTATTCTGCAGTTACTTTCTTCTTTTGTGACACTATAATGTAGCCCTTGTCGCCTTGATGCCATCAGTGTCCTCTTTGGGGTTATTCAATGGAAAGCCCTCACTGTTAACGGACCCTATTTTCACAACCTACATCTTCACGTATGTGGAATGTTTTTGGTTGTCTTTCTTCCCTGCTGTCGTCTATGGCTTGCTCTGCCCCCTAT